CTGGGTCCCAATCTGATCTTCTTTGCCAGTATCTTTCCATTTCAGACGTTTAAAATCCACAGCTACTTCATGATATTCCTTCCTTTAGTGAGAAGCAGGGGTAGAAAGACAGTGGAATCCGAGGTGATTTTGCATAAATAAAAAAAAAAAAGACAGTCAGTTTTGCTCTTTTCATTCTCGCTCAGCAGACATACGCACACACATACACACAAAAAAAGGGGGGTGAGGGGAACAGAAAGAGGCAGAGCTGAAACCTCTCCACGGCTGTCATGACTGGCCAATCAGAAATAGTACGTCACAGATCACTTGGGACACCAGAGAGTTCATAAGTGGGGACACTGAGATGTCCAGTAGTCGCGACTCGTACAACGTGAACTCCGAGTGGTTTTCCTCTACTTTCGCAAGGGCGTGCAGGGCTCGGGCCGCCCGCCGCATCATGTCCACGCTGGTGGGCTCAAACTGGGGCGCGCCCTGCATTTGTAGCAAGGAGCTCTGGCTCTGCTGGTACTGCGTGGCAGCTAGGCTGTCCTCCAAGAAGCCCAGCAGGTTACCTACGCTGGCTTTCTGCACAGCAATAGCCCGAGCAGCCATGCTGTCACCCTGGGCAAGATTCGCCAACAGGACGACCGCCATTTCCCGGCAGACGGCCACCTTGCGCTCACCGACCAGACGCACCAGTGAGCCGTAGAGTTTCTCTAAGCGGCTGAACGGCGGTGTTGCGAGAATGAGGTCAACGTTGTTGTCCTGGATGCTGAGCTTGCTGAGGGTCTCGAGAACCAGTCTCTGGGGGGAAAGTGAGCCGTGGGGCCCCAGCGTGGGGAAAGGGTCCAGGGCCTCTGCTGAGGGGCAGACAGCCCAATGGAGCAGGCCATCCAGCAGCGGCAGGCATATACTCTCTGGGTAGATAGAAAGGTCCAGCTGTCCTGAGATGTTTGCAAGAGTGACCAAACAGTTCTCCCTTAACACCTCGAGGCAGTCCCACCACCACTCGTCTCTCTCGCAGCTCACACCCTCATCTACCTCCTCCTCCTTCTCGTAGGTGACCGGTGCTTGTTTGCGTTCGGGGTGCCTGTGGTGGAGCAGCACCAGGCGGCCCAGCAGCAGCAGGAGGCCTGGGTGTTTTGACATCTCCAAATCGTTACCTGGGACGAAGGACAGACTGCGCACTATGTTGGAGATGCAGATGCAGCGCCGAGCTAGCGAGTCCTGCCAGTCCGACAGAGTGCTGAGTGGCGTCTCATCTTTGCTGTGAGGCTCGTCCTCCAGGATCTTCACGTTACGGCGGCTCTGGAAGTCCGGGTTGATGCTGAACAGGTACTTGCCGTTTTCTTTCTGCTCCTCTACACCTCCACGAACTACTTCCTCTGTGACCGACCCCGGACGGGCAGATAGTACATCATCAATGGTGGCAGTGACTGGAATCGGAAGTGGAGGAGTGGTCTTCTCTGCTAGAGACTTCTGAGGTTCAGAGGACTGGGTTGGCTGCTGCCGAGGTTTATCTTCCTCATTGGACTTGGATTTCTCAGGATTTTCTGTTGCCATCTCTAGAAGCTGTACCTTCTTACGGCTATCAGCTGTTTGCAAGTGTTTCCGTTGCTTGAGGAGTTCCATCCTACTCTCAAAGTGGGTCTGGATGTGTTCGGTAGTGTCCCCCCCACCAATACTCCAGTGTATCAAGCCGCTGTCAAAGCTCTGCCGCTGCCCAAGCTTGGATGAGTGGTTCAGCAGGAAGGGATTTTTCTTCCGAACGACCTTGATGGGGAGTTTATCAAACTTGCTAGCCTGCTTGGGCTTTTCCGAGTGGAGGTTGGGGTCCACGGAGGACCCTGAGGTAGAGGTACTGGGTTCCTTGATAGAAGGCTTCCTTTCCTTCTCCTCCTCCTCGTCCTCTGAAGACTTGTCTTTCTGGGAGCTCTCCTCCTCCAGTTTCACCTGGACTGGTGAGGAGGTGTCAGGGTTGGCCTTTGATTCCTTTACCTCCTCATCCTCTTCGTCTTCTTCATCCGTGTCCATGTCCTCACCCTCTGACATGGGGATTTCATCATCAGAGTCCTCCGCAGCATTGGGGTCTATGAGGGTGCGCTGGCCGGGGTCCCCTACTTCGTACTCCTTTAAGATGCCGAAGATCTCGATGAGGCAGCGTCTAAAGTACTCAACCACCAACTCCAGGAATCCAGGAAGCTGTGAAATAAAACAGGACAGTCAGTAAAATAAGCTTCTGAACTCAGACACAGTGCAACAAGAAAAGTGTTTTTTTGCACAACAGATATGACATGCTACTTACCGAGCACAAGTTAAATGTAGAAATGCTGTTGTCATCATACAACAGAATGTTAATGGTGTCCAAGGCCCATGTGCTTTCAGCTAGTAAGCCTGACTTAAGTGACATCATCACTCTCCAAGCCTCAGGAGTGCCTGTGTTAAGAGACAAACAGAAAGCAGGTTCACTGATCTGTACCATTAAGTTTGATTCCAAATACATAATTGATAAAAACTTCCAAATAAGATGACTGCATCATGATTTGCTGAAATACTCATGGGAAAGACACATGCATTATGGGATATGTAGTTCGGTTGGTTAGCACTTTTAGCTGCAAAAAAGTTTTTAAAGAAGCAGTTCAGACAATGGCTGACAATCTAAGCGGGGGGGATATTGAAGCAGATTACAGCATATTTATTTTAATCAGACAATGTTCCTGCGGACTCACTGACCAAGACTCTCTCGAAAAGAGACAAGAGGAGGAAGAAAGGACGGATCTCGGAGAGTTTGCCGGATTTATATTGTTTCACAATGTTTAAGCTATTTAATGCCTTTTTAATTTCATATCTGTATTTCCTCAGAGGTTGAGAAGTAAATGTTTTCGTAAATGTTGGCAACTTGGTAAGCTCTTCAGAAAACCCTCAGATTGTAGGAGGTCATTTATAAAAAAGATACTTTACAGTGCGTTTTCATTCAGCGCCTTAGAAACAAACACAGCCCTGTAGACTCTGGCTAAACTATTCTCAATTAGCAGTTGTTGAGTCAGTAACATTTTACATATTCTGTGAAACTGTCACAGAAGAGTTCATGTTCAAACAGTAACATGTTGTACAGTAACATTTTGCTCTTGTCACCAATTCCAGGTGGTTTAATACATGTACATATTTGGGAAGTATTGAGTGAGGCTTATTGTGTACCTATGTCTTTTATGGTGAGCCGCCTGCGGGGTTTAAGGTGAGGTTGGGAGGCCTCAATAGAGCCTGGAGGGAAGGCCACGTCCCGCCTGATCATGGGTTGCTGTACGGGGGCCTGGCCAATGTGGGAGGCAGGTACTGGAGGTCCGGCTTTCTGCACCTTAATGCCCGGATGCATGTAAGGGGACTTGCTGGGTGATGTCCTGCTTTCCATTGCCCGGGGCATGGGCGCTGGACTTGACACTTGAGGAATGTGGTTCTGGGAAGTCTGGTAGGTGGATGGCAGGGGTCTGGTCATGGGAGGTCCAGAACCTCCAGGGCCAAATGGTGGCTGCCGCTGGTTTACGTGTCCAGGCCACTGGCCCTCGTGGTTCATGCGTTGGTCTGATGGCATCATCTCCTCCGAGCGGTTCATGCCATGGTAGCCGGGGCCCTGGCCAGGTACAGGAGGTCCCTGTCGGTTGGGATAGTTAGGGTATCCCATCTCAGTGCGACCCTGCCACATTGGTCCTTGGGGGCCATCGGGACCTGAAGGCATGGGACTCGTCATCATCTGGGGAGGCATTGGAGACTGAGAGTTGGGGCCTGCAGATGATGGTCCTCTTTCCCGACCAAAGGGGAAGGGGAACTGGCTCTGTGGCCCTGGTGGTCTTCGTTCACCTCCAGGATACGCATTATACTGGTTATACATGTCCTGTTGGCCCTGGGGCCCCGATGGTTGTGGCCCTGGCTGCTGCTGACCACTGTAGGGGACACTGTACATTTCACCCTCATGTCGCTTGGCAGGAGGTCCATACCCTCCGTCTACAGGACGCTTGTAGTTCTGTCAGTAGAAAACATCCAGCGTTAACAATGGATCATCTCAAAACATTTTAAATAACAATAATACTTTCATATGTTTAACAAAATGAAACCACAGGTACTCAAGTCTACCAATAATAAAAGATAATTTTATTTAATTGGTGAAATGTAAAAAAGAGGGAATTGAGTTGAAATAAGAGTTTTTGGGAACACAGAACAAAACGTTCTCACCGGTTGTTGCTGTGGATACATTCCTGGCTGTTGATTTGGGTATGGGCCACCAGGGGGAGCCCCTTGGCCAGGGTACTGATTGGTATAGGACTCATGCCTGAGAACAGTAACAAAAAGGTTCACACCGTTTTTCTTCAGACAGCTTTAGTATACAATTCACATGCTTATAATCCTGCATTATTTTAAAACCGTTACACTGGCACATGCCTTTTCCATCTTCCTCCGAATACAGACCAGTCTAAACATTAGATGGTACTGACCGTTGCTGTGGTGGAGGGCGGCTGGGTGAATACATCCCTGTGTCGGCTCCAGAAGGCATCATGTTGGGCTGAGGAGCTCCTGGTCCCATGCTGCCATCAGGGCCCATGCCTGGCTCCTGTCTGTAAACACAACAAACAACAATCATAAATTGATAGGACTTAAATAGACAAAAAAAGGCCACTGGGACTTAATAACCACTTATCTGTATGTTTGACAGATACATTTAATAAAATTTGCTTACCTTCGGTCATATCCGTATGCGTACTGTTGCCTCTGGCCCATCTGCATGTTGCCCATGGGGCCTGGTGGGCCTCTGTTATACTGCTCTCCCATCCCACTGTTGGGTCCAGGCGACATGAACTGCTCTCCAGCTTAAAAACAGAAAAACACAGAATGTTGGTTCCTGTACCAACAGAAGTCCTGAATCATCTCATTTGCTGGTTTTGGCTGACGCTCACCTTTCCTCATGCCACCGAAGGGGTCCTTGTTGGACTCGTAGGGACCCATTCGCCCCATCATCTCTGGGCCGCCCATCCCAGGCTGGTAACCCTGAGAGTTGGGAGTCATGGCGTTTCTTCTGGAAAATGCTGGGTCGCCACCATCAGCAAAAGGGTCTTGTAAATTCACGCTACTCCTGTAGGAGGGCAGGAAGCTTGTCAGCAGAATGTTGATGTTGAATTCTTTGGTTCATATTGTTCAAATTTTGATTTTCTAGTATTTTCAAGCCACTTTGTTTTAAATTCTTGTTAATTTCTTTTTTTGAATGATTTTATGTGAACTGATACAAGTTCAAGAAAATTAGAAATAACAGGGCTTAAATAAATATTGTGTTGCATTAAGGCACTTTTACAAAGAAGTTTTTCCATCAATGCGTTCAATAGATGTGCCATGAATATGTCTACGTTTACAGATCAATGCACATATTTGATAAACTTTTAATTTCTGAGTCACTTATTCTACTCTTTATTTATAATAACTAAACAAGCTTATTAGATGTTTCATTTCCTGAACAATGTAGAAAAATGATTCTGTGGCTGCTGTATCATACCTGACGCCAGGCATTGGAGGCATTTGTGTGTGTGGAGTGGACGCCGGAGTGGGGGGCTTCAGGTCTCCCCCCTCCGCCATCGAACTACTGGTGGACTGAGGAGTTTGGGGCCCTTGCAGGGATCCAGAACCAGCTGCGAAGCAAGGATAGATATGATGAATACCAGGAAACGAATATCAAGTTCACCAGTTTGTAAAATTTTAATAATTCAAAGAACAACAGGCCTCTCTCACTCTCCTCACTCTAGGCATAAAGGCCAGAGTTGATAGTCAGGCTGAATAGTGTTGTGGATAGGCTAAACAGTGCCGGGGTGCTTCAAGAACGCATGCTGCTTTTGGCAATCCTAAATCCCATTAAAAAATTCCTGAGTGCTGCACAGAGGAACACAGTTTGTGTTGAGCTGTCGGGCTTTTGAGTGCACAGCCAGCAAAAATGTTGAATCCTCCAGCTCAATGCAGCACGCCAAACCCTTCACCCCCACATCACCCCCCCGCTCTCCTAACATCCACCGCTGGGCTCTCTCCGAGTCACTGGGAAAACAATGATCTAAAATCCTGACTCTGACAGATTACTGCCCGGCCTGCAGACAGGAGACACCCAGTGTGTGTGTGTGTGTGTGTGTGTGTGTGTGTGTGTGTGTGTGTGTGTGTGTGTGTGTGTCATAAGATATGACCAATGGTTAGAATCCACATGAACAAGACAGCAAGAGTTTTGCTGTATGGACACATTCACAACAGCATCTAATCCTCCGCATTATTCAGGTGAAAGGTAGAGCAGCCGGGGGCAGGAAGTGACGTATTTATTCAACTGCATAGATCATGAGATCATGTTTACAGCACCTCAACACCGTCGTCAGCTCTTATCACCACAAACTCTCTCGATATCTTCACCAGTGTCTTTTACGTGTACAGTATGACACCACTTTTTCATCGGGAGATATATATGTACTGTATATATGCTGTGTGTTCACACATCGACATCTCCTGGATTTCTACGGACTTTATACTAGACCAGGCAGATTAAGTCCACAGAAACTACGGAGCATCTCTTTCGGACATTTACGTTCACACATGCACATCCTCTGGAGAAAATACGGAGGATCCTGTCCAGTGCATGTCTGAAAGCAGCTAGAGAGAGAGACATAGTAGAGCTCATCCTTAACTTCAGCTCAGGAGTTCTCACTATTAGCACGCCAGTCTGATGACTCACAGGTTCCCATTCATTACACTGCCACACACACATACACAACACTGGGGTCACTGGCAGGTCACATTTATTCACGTTTTCTCACATCGCCCTCTCGCCTCTGCGGCTCTCGCACACACACACACACAACGGACATTAACTGGCTCACCCTCCTATTCCTCTACCCCCTCCTCCCTCCTCCCCGTGGGCAGGGATTTCCCTCTACTAGAGATGAAGAGGGGAGGGGGAGGTGCTGGGGGGAATCTTGTGAGGATGGGGAAAAAATAGCATGGTAGATCGAGTCAGAGAGCGTGAGTGAGAGAGAAAGAATTGTGTGACTTTTACATACACATACACGCACGCACGCACACTCAAGCCTCTCCCCCCATTCATCATTTCTGGCTCTGCACTAATCTCCAGGGACTATTGCCTTGCCTCTGTAGCCGTGGGCCAGGCACCGGGCAGCAAGGACACAATGCCACTGACGGGGCATCTCTATCGCTAACACTCCTGCCCTCACACCCCACCACCACCCCCACCCGAGGTCTTCCTTCGTACTAACTGGAGGGCTGACAAGCACCCTGATGTCTCCTGTAACAACACCCGGCGCTGACTCAGTGCCCCGTGTCTGACAGCCTGGGTCTCGGCCAGACTTGAGTAGCACGTGGTCGATCATGGTGCAGTCGCTCCTGGCAGCTATAACAGGAGTCCTTTCAAATTCAAACAGCTTCCAGGAGACAGCATGGTCCTGAGACAATCCCATCCCTACACCCCCGAAAACCTCTGGTATCACTGACTCCCGGTTTACACTTTTACCCAATCCTCAGTTCATTGAAAGACTTGGCATGCCTGATGCAGCACTGTTCACACGAAACACCAACGTGGGGGAGTCTTTCGCCACGTCCTGTGCAAATGCCAAAACCTTCCCCTAAGAGATGTGATCGTGGAATTGTCCAGAGGACGAAGTGTGCTGCTGTGACTGATGCCATTTACTCCTCAAAACACATGCCGCAGCAGCAGCAGTGATTTATGGATGATGGAAACCCCATACAGAAGATGACAAACGGTCTATGATTGGCTGTTTATAATGTAATTAATAGGAGACTATAAAACACATACACATTTATACTCAGATGACAAGAGACAAATAGAGTAAGGAGAATGTCTTGAACTGGACAGAAACCATGCAGCACCCGAGGGATACATGAAATAGGTTTTCATTGATTCTATATGAGTGCAGTTTATTTAAAAGGATGAAATAAATGGTGATGAGATGCAGGAGGAGGCCGGCGCTCACCTGGGCTGGGAGGCTGGATCTTTGCCTGGTTCTTTTTGGTGTCTGTGTTGAAGATGTCTGGGGGCGGGTCCTCGCCTCGCTCAATCTTGCACTCGAAGGCGTACAAACACTGGATGTACTGTTTCTTGAGCGAGCTGGCTGCGCTGCTCGACGTGCCTACGTTCAGGTTGGTGGCCAGCTCCCTCCACTTCTTGTTTTTGTTCACCTGGTGGGCGACAGAGGAACGGGAGGCTTAGAGAGCTGCACAAAAAACACAACAGCCTCCCGAGAAGAACAAAGCTGCCTGTTCTGATATGTAATATTCAGGCGTACCTGAGTGAGGCCCCCAATCTCTTTGACAGACACGTAGAGTCTGAAGAGGTCGAGAGGCTTGCGTCCCACAGCGGGCAGGTTGTTCATGCCCATGGCCTTCTCCTCAGCGAAGGCCAGGTATCTGTCCACCCACATCTTCCTCTCTGGCTCCGGGCCGAGCTCATACAGACGAGTAATCTTTTCATTGGTGATGGTGGATGAGCTTGACTTCTACAGAACAGGCGATTGAAGGAAATGATGAGATGGGAGAAAAAACATCAAATGAGGCAGACGAATTGTCGCGTGGACTCAGAACTTTTACCTTTTTGGATTCAGGCTTGGGAGTCCCTTCCACTTTGTTGTTCATCTTCTGAGCAGGGTTCATTTTATCCATGCCAAACTCCGGAGTGGGAGCCATTCCTGGGTGTTTAGAGGTAATAAGAAGAGGGCATAAAAATAAGGGATTGCTAGTCTATAAAACTATTTTATGGACAAAGTACACACAGTAGTGCTAAAACCACCTAATCAAGGCTTAAGTGTAGCTTTTACTCACCAGGGGTGTTGTTGGCTATGTTTGCTCCCATTGGGTAAGGCCCTGGCCCTCCCTGGTTCATCATACCGTGCATGCTGTTCATGCCAGGGCCATATGGAGAGCCTGTTCCCATCATGCCCTGGGACATGTTCGGGTAGCCAGGAGGCCTAGAAGTGAGAAGGCTTTTTAAAAAGGGCATTGAGAAAACCAACACACAACTAGCTGATAAATCTTTTTATCATTATCACATAGAAATAAAGATTTAGAGTCTGTCATGATTTTCACGCCTTGCTTGATGCTGTAAATCTTTACTTGTTTTGTACTCACAGAGTTCAGCTTATTCAGTAGATAAAATTAATGTAATATATATTGCCAACTGCCACATGCCTGAGCTGGTGGGATCTCAGGAAAAATTTCAGAAACCGCACTTCTAATTTTTTCTCTTATAGATAACTTTGGTCCTCTGCCATCTACACACAAGAGACTAGCTGCACGAGGGAAGAACCAATCACTTTTCATGATCCATACAACCAGCACATACAAGCAAAGAAACACATGCACACACTCGGCTAAAACCATGAAAAAAAGAAAAGAAAAACTCTCCAGGCTCAAGAGTCTTATTACAACGAGTCGTACTGACCCTCCACAGTCAAGTGCTCCTTTATGACTCACTGAGTCTGATGCAGACAGTGGCTGTATAACACTCACCTGTTGTGTATGGAATTAGTGGGCCCATGGAGCATGGAGGGGCCACCATCCTTCCTGTTCATGCCTGGTGGGGGACACATTCCGGAAGCCACCTGAGGAGGCATGCCTGCCATGTTAGAGGCCATTCCAGGACCGTAGGGCCGAGCACCCATCTGGCCCGGGACTATTCTACCGGGTGGCATATTTCCGTAAGGAGTCCCGCTTGCCTGACCAGGCATGGGGTTCATGGAGCCACCCATTCCGGGGCCAGTGGGGTAGTTGGCGTTGGGCATCGCTGTGTAGCCGGGCTGTCTAGGGTAACCTGGAAGGGTCGGAGATGGAAGAAATTCAGAAATAAGCCTGCTGCCCATTGCTGATGATGTTTTATGGCATTCTGTTATGTTTCAAAATTGCATTTCAGTCTAAAACAGAGAAATCTGTGGTAGAACCTTTACTCATTTCTTACAAACTAGATAAAGAGTTTCAGCGGTCGAGCTCTAAATTTACCTCTGTGCTGCCTTTTCTGACAAGCAGCCTGATGAAGCAGGCTTTATCTAGCCGTTGCTGTTCACTGCTATGACTCATAGCAGAACTTCTTCAAAGCCCACAGAAACCATCGGAGACTTCAAAGTGAAGTGATATCGTTTCATAAATATATGAAGTGAGAGGAAACTTCAAAGCTTTTTTAAAAATCAGAGCTATCTATGAAACTGTGATGGTCACAGGATGACAACTGAAAACTCATTCATAATATTTTTAGGATTTGGAAAAAAAAAAATCCCAGAGTAGTGTGCATCACTCAGCACTGTACTCCCCCCCCTCTGCACTACTATTTTATTTATCAGTGAGAACCTTTTAATTATTTATTTTTGAAATGTTTTTTTGGCCTTTATTTTTGGTGGAGAAAGAGAGCAAGCTGAGAAGAGGGGCAGACAGAGAGTGGGGGAAGATATGCATCACGGGGGCCGCAGGTCTGAATCAAACCCGGGCCACTTCAGGTGAGGCATAGCCCCCAGGTCTCACCTTGTGGGCCGTATTGGCCCCCCTGAGGCCCGTAGTTTCCAATGGAGTTGTTCTGGGGGTAGGGTCCCATCCCACTATGCATCTGGCCTCCCGAAGACTGACGTGGAGATAAGGCAGAGCCAGGTTGTCCAGGGGACCCGTATGGGGGCATCTGAGGGTTACGCATGTACACTGGAGAGGATTGGGAACATCATTAGATGCATACTTTAAATATGGGGGGGAAAAAACTCTGCATCTGCTTAGACATACTGCTACATAACACATTATGTTTCGGTGTGAAGAACCTAGCACTTTAGTTTCTCACAAACACAGCAGTACAGTGCGTCTGTCTGTAATTACCCTCATTTGACCTGGCAAGTAGACTACAAAATAATTCTTATTTAAAGATTTAGCCAGAGGGAGTGTTTACAGAAGGAAGGAATGCATGCAAATCCAAACAATCACACCTAAAAGCTGCTGAGGATGGGGCACACATTCTTTCAAGCTACTGGCCACCTGGAAGATGAGGGATTTCTTAAAAAGGGGTTTTCCTTCAGTAGTGATTTGAATCCTTGAACCTCTCGAAGCATGTCAGCACACTCACCCCTGTCCTGGCCCATGGCTGACTGGTTCATGGAAGAGTGCAAGATGCTGTCCGACTGGACGCTGGGCGGCCGCGGAGGCATCTGATTACCTGCAGGGACAGCAACAGCACAGGGACTCAGGAACTTTGGAAATCTTACAGCCACAGTTGAGGGGTGTTCAGCTGCAGGGGTGTTCAGCTGCAACATGACACTTCACCACGAGATATCAATAAATTCTACACACTGTACCTTTGAGATAAATCTTAAGTAAAACATTTTGTTGTAGCGTGAAAATAAAAATTGTTGTCCCCTCCTGCAGGTTATACTGCATTTCAGAGATTCAAGGCCACGAAAACTACACTGAAGCAAAAACTGTCTTTTTAAAATACAGGGAAAAGTAGAGGGAAAAGTGGTTTAGGCACAAGTCCAGGCATGATTTATATGTCATATAGATGTCATAGTGTAGTTTGGGTGCACAAAGAGAGATCATCTGTCATTACATGACCACAGGAAAACCTCCAGTAACATTTAAAAATTCAGATACTTGGTATAAAACTGTGTTCTTACCTGGCACAGCAGCGGGAGACAGAGGACCGGTGCGAGAGGGGGTGACACTGGCAGGGGAACCCACAGGCGAGGGGGAGGGCCCACGTATGCCTGGCAGGTGGGGTGAAGTGTGTGGAGAGAAAGGCGACTGGGCAGGGTTGCTCTGCTCGCCCTGACTGCTGGACACCCCTGAAGTGCTGACCCCGGGGCTCAGGGCCCCCTCTGTACCAGTGGGCAGGTCGTCGATGGAGCCCGACAGATCCTGAAACAAGAAGAGCAAGACAGGTTAATGTTGATATTTTCCACAAGTGAAATGAAGAAGGTGATATTTTTTAAATAGTCACCTTATTTGGAATTATTGTTTTTTCTATGTATTTTTTATAAAAGCAACAGATTGGATATGCTTGTCATATAAATAAAACTGAAGTAACTATAAATAATACCAAGCACGTTTCTTTTTCTTCATCAGATAAATCCCTAAAATATGCCACGATTTACAACTTCAGATTTTTTTATGGCCTGCGACGTTTCTTTTGCTTGTGTATTTTATTTTATACATCATTCCAACAGTTTGTAATTTAATCCGACAATATTATGGGAGCTTTATAAAAATTAAAAAAATATGTTTGTAAGACAAAAAACATCCAAACAAATAATTCTCTGCAACCCTTTGAGTAAGCTGCAATTATAATAACAAAGTGGTAAATTAAGTGAAAAAGCCCATACACAATATCAAAGGCAAATCTCTCTCTGTGTGTGAGAGGGAATGTTAATAAAGCAGAGTTTGACTCAGACTGCAAAATGTAAAAAGCTGGAGCAGGCAGTCGCTGCATTTGAAGAAAATAGGAATCATATTCAAGTAGAAATAAGAAACAAATTCTTCTGCTTTTTCCTGCTCATACTTGTAAGAGGAGGGTGGAAGCGTCTTATTTCTGAGTCAAATCAAAGTCAATTGAGTGGAAATCCAAACAGCCACAGATTCATTGCAGCAACCATTGCCTTGTGTCTGTTATTCTCTCATACCAGACTACCACCCTGTTATAGTGCAAACACACATTCGGGCATAATCACTTTTTTTCATTTTTCTAAAAATACTGTACTTCACTGCCATAATGATCCATCTTGGCAAGGAGAATTCTGTTTGTGTGGTTTGCAAAAAGAAAAAAGAGGGGGGTTAGGTATTTGAAGCAAGTCATCTTGGGAGGCAGTTGAAATAACTGGTGCTGGGGTTTCAGGCTCTGGTGCCATGTGGTGTTGTCATTGAGCCTCGCTGGCTGTGACACAAAGGCAGGCAGGCAGGAAGGTAGGAAGGAAGGCAGACGGTGATGATTATGTTTGTGGGAAGGTGAATGTTTACACACTGGCCACTCACGTGGAGCCCATGTGCTTGCTCAGAAATGCAAGCTCATCTGCCAGTCACATCGGAGGAGGGAAAAAAATGGGAGAGAGGAGGAGGGAAAAAAAAACACTCACTGGAAGCTGGCCAACTATTCCCATAGAAATCTCACACTCACAAGCTGGCTGCAGCCCCGAAGCTGGCGGTTTTGCACTTGAAACGGCGCCCGTTGCTATTTTTGGGACATGACCTGATGGAGGAACCCCAGAGGGAGTGACAGGAGGAGAACGCTGATTCAGAATCCACCCCACCCCCCACCCACCCCATTCCCTCTGCCCTCCCTCCATCTCTTCCTCCTCCTCTCACTTTGGGCAACTGCACAAACCTGGGCCCTTCTGACCAACACTGTTGATGTGGCAGCTATAAAACCATGCAAAACAGCAGCAGGAGAGCTTAGTGAAGGAGTAACACACTCAGTGTTTCATTGACTGATACCCAAATCATTTTCAAAATGTAATAAAAGGTAAGAACGAGGCAAAGCCGTGCTGCGTGAATGCCATGGAGCGTTGAGATCTTAATGCTCTGCAGTGGAGAACAGAGATCAAACAGCATGGCATTCCTTGCTTAAACAACCATGGCGGGATCCTTTTCCCAGCAGCAAGCAGTGTCAGCTGACCTCTATCCTACCAACCAGAACCCCCCCACCTCCGCTCAGACATCACAAGACCGGTCATCTGACTGAGGGCTTGGCCTGAGGGCCCTGGCCCGGCTGCCGAAAGCTTCAG